TTCCAGTGAGCACTCAGGGTTGATTTCCTTCAGAATGGATAGGTTTGTTCTCCTTGCAGTCCAGGGGACTCTCAAGAGCCTCCTTCACCACCACAATTCAAAGGCATCAATTATTCGGCAGTCAGCTTTCTTTATAGTCTAGCTCTCACTTCCATGCATCACTACAGGAAAAACCATAGCTTTGACTATGTGCACTTTTGTCAGCAAGGTGATGTCTCTGCTTTTTAAGATGCTGTCTAGGTTTGTCATTGCTTTCCTCCCAAGAAGCAGTTATCTTTTAATTTCGTGGAAAGGAAAATTCCCTGGAAAAGACCCTGATGTTAGGAAAGTATGAAGAGGAGAAGGGGACGACAGAGGATGGTATGGTTGGACAGTGTCATTGAAGCTACCAACATGAATTTGACCAAACTCCGGGATGCAGTGGAAAACAGGAGGGCCTGGCGTGCTCTGGTCCATGGGGTCCTGAAGCGTCTGACCCGACTTAACAACTAAACGACAGCAATGAAACCATTTGGAGCTGAGGATTGCATCAAATGGTATATTGTACCTCCACCTGTTTCCAAATGACCCTATTTAGCCTGCACCAGTCTGCTCCAAAAGAGTCACTGTAGGCATGCACTAAGGCAATTATTATGTTACCTCAGTTTATGGTGCTTTGGGCTGAAATATAGCACTTCATTACCTGGTTTTGCTTAAATTTCAATGAGAGCAAGAGATGTTTCACTGTGACACATCAGATTACAATATTTCTTTGTAGCCAAAGGATTACAAAGCCACCAGGAGACAGCCATCAGGTTTAAGCAACTGAGAATGAAACTCTCTCTTAAAATGGTGGGTTAAATAAGAAAATAGTAATGTGTCCTGGAATTGCTTAAATTATAGGTGACACAGCTATCTAGACTGGCTGAAGAAAATAACTTTACACTTGGTGACCTTAGAACAAAGCAGAGCAAAACTGAAATTCATGTTCTCCTAACAACTATGAACTTCATATTCAAATTCACTTTGCATTTTGTTTGTTAATTTGTAGTCCTCTGCTCATGACTTTGTAATATACAGATTATGAATTTGTAATGTAAATTCCTCATTATGCCCAAAGCATGTACATAACCTAAGTCATTTACCTTGTCTGGTAT